TGTTTTGTGATGAAAGAACTGATTTCTGTTGCTGTCTTCCGTACTTCACCTGCATTGGCTTTGTTCCTCGATGTCCACTAGTCCCAAAGGAGCACAGCAACACGTAGCTTCTTTTCTCACTACATAGCGCAAACATGGCGTATCATATCTTGATGATCTTGACACTGGCGTTCTGGATTTGTTCTTTATTACTATTGCATACTGTAGCAGAAATCACACTGTAGCTCACTGTAGTTGCATTGCTTACCTGGGACATAGGCTGAACCTAGCTCCGCTACAGCTCGTACTCCCCTCCGCCTGCCACTACACTGCTGCATCTTCCATGGCTCCTGTTCGTTCCCCGCCTTGGTTCGCTTGAGGTTTATGCCGCCGTCTGGCGTTGTCAACATGGTCAACAACCGAGAGGAATCAGGAGATGACTGTACGCGGAGAGGCTGATAGTAGGGACCTACCAAGGTCATTGCATTACGCAAGCAGGTGCCTCGTTATTACAAGCCAAAAATAAAATTCCTCCTAATTGTTTGACAACTAGGTCCCACGCCATTGTCAATGTAGTCAATAAACGAGAAAATCACACAATGAGCGGATAACACCAGGGACCCAGCAGCTCGCCTAGTTGTTTTTTAGTTCTAGAGACGGAGCTCAATCAACGGTTGGCTGTGCGGGGGCTGTGGCCCGTCTAGTCCACGCTTACGCTTTTATTTAAGCACGTGACACGCCCAGTTCCTTTGCTAAAAAAACATGACGAGCCCAGTTGATATCTTTTTTGTTTCTGAAAATGGCTAGCTTAGTTTTTTTTGGAGAATACCCAACCAAGGCCTACTTGCTTTTCTCAGCCCTGCTAGGCTGCAAATCTTTCAAGACGAGGAGGGATGTAAGTAGTAAGAAATGGGCTTCCGCAGAAAATGGGCTATAAGTTAGTAAGAAATGGGCTGTAAATTTTTAAACCTAAGCCAATCGGCAATTACATTCAAATATTGTTTTTCTGGATTTCTCTACTCTTATAAAAAGCAAAAAATGGTGGAAGGAGGAGCTTCGCCGGTGTCCTGCTCCTGAACAGAAGTGTGTGGCCGAAGTGGGTTTCTCGCATTCCACGCGGGTTTCTCTATCTCTACTGTCTTCTATACTATTATAAAAAATAGAGTTGGTGATGATGGTGTGCCTGCCATCCTATAATATAGGTCGTCCGATCTATATCTAACGGATAGGAAGGAAACTAGGACATTTTACCCGCACTCTTCTCCACATTTGCAGATAAGGCCTTCCCTCGTTCATCCTTTTTCTCCCACAAGATAAACTACTTATAAAAATGCATCTTGATGTTCCATGCAACGCACAGGCATCTTGCTAGTCAAGAATTTAAATTTCAATCATTTTTTGTGGAGATTTTTTATGAATTTTATTTTGATATAAGTTTTTAAAAACTACTTTTAACGTGACTCAAAATTTCATGATTAAAAGAGTTTGGACCCCACTGAAATATGCAAAATTTCGTTGAATTTTTTATCAGTGCCCAAAATATGGTTTGTAATGCTAATAAAAAGAATATGGGATTCAAAATATCCTTAAAAATTAGAAAATGGGCTGTAAATTATTGAAAATAATGGCTAATGGGTTGTATTATGTTTTCCACAGATTTTCAAGATTTTAAATTTTAGTCATTTTTTTGTGGAGATTTTTTTTGAATTTTATTTTGATATAAGTTTTTAAAAATTATTTTTAACGTGACTCAACATTTCGTGATTAAAAGAGTTTGGACCCCACTGAAATATGCAAAATTTCGTTGAATTTTTTAGCAGTGTCCAAAATATTGTTTGTAATGCGAATAACAAGAATATGGGCTTCAAAATATCCTTAAGAATTAGCACATGGATTGTAAATTATTGAAAATAATGGCTAATGGGCTGTATGCTGTTTTCCACAGATTTGGAGGATGATTTCTGGGCCTACTTGGTTGACGATGACGCTGTCCTAAAAAAAATTACATGTACGTAAGGCTTTGTCAACTTAGTCAAGACAGAGCAGTGACTGTTGGATGTCCATCCAATGGCCGTCATGCTTCTTCAATCTCTGATCTTCCTGTTCCAGCCGCCCAAACCAGGGTCGGCGGGACTGCCTACTCCCCCCTCCTGTGGCCGGCTGTGCTGCCGCCAGGCCATCCTGATACGTCCATTTTGCATCATGCTTTTATATCGATATTTATTGCATTATGGGATGTTATTACACGTTATGTCACAATACTTTTTTCCTATTCTCTCTTATTTTACAAGGTTTACATGAAGAGTGGGAATGCCGGCAGCTGGAATTCTGGGCTGGAAAAGGAGCAAATATTAGAGACCTATTCAGCACAACTCCAAAAGTCCTAAAACTCCATGGAAGTTATTTTTGGAATTAATAAAAATACTGAGAGAAGAAAGTACCAGAGGGGGCCCACACCCTGGCCATGAGGGTGGGGGCGCGGCCTACCCCCCTGGGCGCGCCCCCTGCCTTGTGGGCCCCCTGGCAGTCCTTCGGTGGCCATCTTTTGCTATATGAAGTCTTTTACCCTGGAAAAAATTATAAGCAAGCTTTCGGAACGAGACACCACCGCCACGAGGCGGAACCTTGGCGAAACCAATCTAGGGCTCCAGCGGAGCTGTTCTGCTTGGGAAACATCCCTCCGGAAGGGGGAAATCATCACCATCGTCATCACCATCGATCCTCTCATCGGGAGGGGGTCAATCTCCATCAACAACTTCACCAGCACCATCTCCTCTCAAACGCTAGTTCATCTCTTGTATCCAATCGTTGTCCCAAAAACCTCAGATTGGTACATGTGGGTTACTAGTAGTGTTGATTACTCCTTCTAGTTGATGCTAGTTGGCTTATTTTGTGGAAGATCATATGTCCAGATCCTTTATGCATATTAATACCCATCTGATTATGAACATGAATATGATTTGTGAGTAGTTATGTTTGTTCCTGAGGACATGGGAGAAGTCTTGCTATAAGTAGTCATGTGAATTTGGTATTCGTTCGATATTTTGATGAGATGTATGTTGTCTCTCCTCTAGTGGTGTTATGTGAACGTCGACTACATGACACTTCACCATTGTTTGGGCCTAGAGGAAGGCATTGGGAAGTAATAAGTAGATGATGGGTTGCTAGAGTGACAGAAGCTTAAACCATAGTTTATGAGTTGCTTCGTAAGGGGCTGATTTGGATCCATATGTTTCATGCTATGGTTAGGTTTAGCTTAATACTTCTTCTGTAGTTGCGGATGCTTGCAATAGGGGTTAATCATAAGTGGGATGCTTGTCCAAGAAAAAGGGTAGTACCCAAGCACCGGTCCACCCACATATCAAATTATCAAAGTAACGAACGCGAATCATATGAGCGTGATGAAAACTAGCTTGACGATAATTCCCATGTGTCCTCGGGAGCGCTTTTCTCTATATAAGAGTTTGTCCAGGCTTGTCCTTTGCTACAAAAAGGATTGTGCCACCTTGTTGCACCTTATTTAATTTTGTTACTTGTTACCTATTACGAATTACCTTATCACAAAACTATCTGTTACCGATAATTTCAGTGCTTGCAGAGAATACCTTACAGAAAACCGCTTGTCATTTCCTTCTACTCCTCGTTGGGTTCGACACTCTTACTTATCGAAAGGACTATGATAGATCCCCTACACTTGTGGTTCATCAAGACTCTTTTCTGGCGCCGTTGCCGGGGAGTGAAGCGCCTTTGGTAAGTGGAACTTGGTAAGGAAAAATTTATATAGTGTGCTGAAATTTACTGTCACTTGTTACTATGGAACATAATCCTTTGAGGGGCTTGTTCGGGGTATCTTCACCCCGACCAGTAGACCAAAGAGTTGCTCCTCAACCTACTGAACCTACTGAAAATGTTTACTTTGAAATTCCTTCGGGTATGATAGAGAAACTGCTAGCTAACCCTTTTACAGAAGATGGAACATTGCATCCCGATTTGCACCTAATCTATGTGGATGAAGTTTGTGGATTATTTAAGCTTGCAGGTATGCCCAAGGATGTTATCAAGAATAAGATATTCCCCTTATATTTGAAGGGAGAGGCATTGACATGGTTTAGGCTATGTGATGATATGGGAATTTCATCATAAGTTTTATCCTATGCATCTTGTTCATCGTGATCGTAATTATGTATATAATTTTTGGCCTCACGAAGGATAAAGCATCGCTCAAGCTTGGGGGAGGCTTAAGTCAATGTTATATTTATGCCCCAATCATGAGCTCTCAAGAGAAATGATTATTCAAAAAAATTATGCTCGGCTTTCTCTCAACAATCGCTCCATGCTCGATACTTCTTGTACTGGTCCCTTTATGATGAAGACTATTGAATTCAGATGGGATTTATTGGAAAGAATTAAACGCAACTCTGAAGATTGGGATCTCGATGAAGGTAAGGAGTCAGGTATGACACCTAAGTTTGATTGTGTTAAATCTTTTATGGATACCGATGTTTTCCGTGAATTTAGCACTAAATATGGACTTGACTCTGAGATAGTAGCTTCTTTCTGTGAATCGTTTGCTACTCATGTTGACCTCCCTAAGGAGAAGTAGTTTAAATATAATCCTCCCATTGATGTAAAAGTAGTTGCACCTATTAAAGTTGAAGAAAAGACTATCACTTATAATGATCCTATTGTTCCTACTACCTACTCCCTCTCCAGGAAAAGTTGTTCCTGTGGCAATTTTATGAAAACCTCCTTGTTGTATTCCCGACAAACGATGCACTCCCCCACCTCTGCTCCTCTCCCTCCGGTTCGCCCTGCTTGGCTCCCCAAGAAGCATCTGATGGCGTCACCGGAGATTCCCCCCGCAAGAAGCTCCCTGCTCTGCTCCCCTTGTTCCCCTCCTCCTCCGCCCCGTTGCTTCCCCGGGCAAGGAGAAGCATCGATTTTTCCGACCTCCTCCGACAGAAGCCGCAGCTGCCCTGCTCCACCACAGCCACAACTTGCCACCGCCATAACTGCCTCCTATGTGGCTCTCTCCTACTCACGCAGCTCAAGCTTGCCTTCCTCCCCTAGCTTCCCCCTCCCTAGTGACCTCCGCACTCTGCTCCGGCTGCTTCAGATCCAGCATCGGCGAGGCTGATATGGTGGCTGCGAGGCCAGACGGCGGCGAGATCAGGTGGTCGAAGCTGGGAATGTCACTTCTGCTCGCGAACATCCAGGCCCTGGTGGCGTCCTCCGGCGAGCTGACGGCCGACCAGATCGAACGGTAAGTCCAGCCCAACATTGACGCGCACGCCGTTCTCCCTGAGCACTCCGACGAGGTTCCGGTGATTGACCTCAGCAACCTCTTGAGCCCTGAGTCCATCAAGGAAGAGGTCGCGAAGCTCAGGTTTGCCTGCGCGGAGTGGGGCTTCTTTCAGGTGCGTCACTACTGTAAATTGCTTACCATTTAGTAGATGCAGCTGTCTTGTTTCTGTTGCTTAACTTGTCTGCCTAGTATAGAATGGATGGATGAATGAATGGATGGCGTCACTGATCCACCAGGGCCTAGTAAAAACTGATCTTTTTTTACTAAAATTTGCTGCTTCTGAGATTTGCTTAAGACTATAATTTGGCCAACTGGTATTTCTTCAGTTAGCAAAACATGGCAGAAAAATCTCACTAGGGGATCACACTTGGCCTGACAACATCTGTGTGTAACTAGGGGGTCACACTTGGGGACACAATGGGCTAATTGCCTAATTTCTTCGGCAGCTCATCCTATTTTTACCTATTTGACTGCAACCTCAGTCTCACTAGGGCATCGCACTTGGCCTGACAATATATGTGTGTAAACTGGAAATTCTAGCTTAGAATGAAACTTGAACAACTAAATTTACGCATTTCAACTAGCAAATGTGAGATAAGAATGAACATTTATTCTCAACTAGCAAATGTCAGATAAATCAAATTACTAATTAGCTTTAGTGATGGATCTAGCAGGATGAGTCAGTGATTAAAATCATCCATGAATGAATTAGTTAGAGGGCGGCCGGCAGTACCTGGTGTACTACTGCTACTGTCTAGTAGAGTACTCCTTTCATGAAAGAGGTAGATAAATGGATTACTCCTTTTCAAGTAATTTTGTCATTTGTTTCATGGTGTGGCAAGTAATTTTGTCATTGTTTTAGACCACAATCAAGTCTTTTTTCATTGTTTCAAAATACTTCAGCCTGCTAGATTTAAGTTCTGCTGAAACTGAAAAAAGGAACAGAACCACACTTGAATAATTTTCGAGTTCAGAACCACACATTTTATCATTCTACTTCCAGGAACTTCCTGATGAACTTGACATGATTTATTGGTAGGGGTATTCACTATTCACTAGTCTACTAAGTCCAGGGTATCAGTAGCATTTTCTTCTTCTTTAGCAAGCCTTTTCTTGGTTGTGCGGTTAACTGATCTTGTTAACATGCTAACTGAATTTTGTAATGAAAATTGCATTGTTGGATAGGCAGGAGTAGAAAATTTGGTGTACACAGTGTACTGAGTTTTCAGCTCTTGATTGTTGTACTTTCATAAAGTAATATAAATGGCTGCCATGGCACCATTTTGAGAAATAATTGTATAGTGTCAAAATATTCATGTGATTTCAAACCTGTGGCCAAACTGTTGTACATTATGTTTTTAGTAAGGAGCTCAAGTTCTTAACACAAACTTGCTTAGATTTCGTTTTCAGTAAGGATCCCGAGTTCTTAACTATGACAAGATTTTGTTTTCAGTGAGTCTAAAATTATTGCAGAGCTTTCTGATGATCATTGTCACCGACTCTAAATTTATGTTCAGAACTTGAAGTAATTATGCAAAGTTTGAAAAGTTTAGGACTAGTCTTCTAATGTTAAGTTTTGAACATCTAAAGTTCTGTTAGAAGATTCTGTAGCTCAAGGTCTGGTCTTCGGCCCTCTATTTATTATGTTTGTCACTACAAGTTCATGATCCAATAATTAAGAGTAAGTCTAAGATCATTTGGTCTCTGAACATTTAGTCATAGAAATTTGATCTTGACTGAACATCAACTTGTCAGATCAAATAAATTCAAATAAATCAAATAATTCAAATTAATCCAAATAATTCGAATAAAATAAAATTACTCAAATAAGTCCAAATAAAATCAAATGATCCAAATAATTCAAATAAAATCAAATAAATTCAAATAATTCACTTGACATAGTCCAATATTTTCTCATTGAACACATTACACAAAGAGATACACATGACACAATACATACACATTTCAAGTAAAGCAAGAAGAATCTAACTTACTTCAAATAATTTCAAGTAAAGTGTTCTAGACATCAGGGCAGTCATATTTTCAGTGAAGTTTCATGTTTAGTAAATCTAACTTAATTCAAAAATTGTTGTTGTTATCAAATTACTCCCCAATGCAAAGCAAAGCAAAATAGTTTTCCTTTTTTATTGGACACATGATTACTGGACACATCATTGGCAATGACCTATTAGATCATCTGCATTTTTATTTTGATTGGTCTTTTTAACAGTTTTTAGTAGCACACCATGACACTACTTGCACATAATAGAGCTCACTGAAAAGTAAGACTACGATCAACATCAAACTACTCCTTGACAAGCAGTGATCACTACTGAACATGATCATATTCTAGTACATCAAACTGACTTTTTTGTAATATTATTCTGAGAGATTAAAAGTAGATGGTCATTCCTTAAAGAAACATGACACACCAAAATAATTTTGTCCTCATTATGTAATTGAAACTTGAGTTTAAGTCATTTTTATAATCATGTCACCATGTTTTTGTTACTAAACATGTGTTGTGCTCTCAAACAAACCTGAACACTGAAACTTGTGCATTCTGTCTATCTCTTCAGAAATTAATCCAGTCCCTTTCTCTATCTGCTACTGCAGTACTCCTATTTTAGTGATCAAAATTTGATTAAAGATCCACTTAGAGTTTCTCAGATATGCCAGCCAAGCAAATTCCTGTTGTTAAATTCACTGAAAATTCAGCTAATTTGACTTTATTGAAACTAAATTCAGTTAACTCCTTACAGTAAATTCAGTTAACTCCTTACAGTAAATTCAGTTAACTCCTTACAATAATTTATAATTTGACCACAAGTAGTTGTCAGCAAGAATGTTCCAATGAAACATTTTTTAGATGACCCATAAGACTAACTGAAAATATTTGGAAATATACTCCAGCCTGTTCAAGAAATGTCTGAACTGTTCAAGAAAGAGGATTTTTTTTCTTTGTTATGTTATCTAGAAATGTCTGGACTAATCTAAAGATGTGACCACTATAATCTGTTCATCATTCAACAGTAGTGCAATACTTGAAACCACTATACATGTTTCTCAGCAGCAATGTCTGAACTAATCTGACCACTATAATATGTTCATCATTCACTCATCATTGAGCCGTAGTTATTGTTGTTGCTAGAATTTCAGCAAGCAAGCATTTTATTAAAGCCACACATACACAAACATAAATGCAGTCTTGTGGATCCACACAGGCTGCTGCAGTTGAAGACCACACAGGAATTTGAACTTCAAGTTCATCAAAAGTTTGGAGCACATGCAGGAATTTGTGTACATTGAACTTTTACAGGCAGCAGCACTGAACTTTATCTCTTGCAACACAGGCGGGCAGCAGCAACGGCGAGGGATGGGGCAACAAAAGGCAGCAGTGGCGAGGGGCGGGGCTTGATCAGGCGCCCGGTCGTCTCGCCCCTGGGCAGACTTGCGTGGCCCTGCCTACCAAAGCAGCCAGAGAGAGGAGCGGCGGCCGCGGGCACGAGGAAGCGGCCTGGGACCTGAGCAGCAGCATGCACTCCTGGTCCAGGCGATCGACACCCAGGAGCACACATAGCTCGAGGAGGATGACCTCAAGCGGATCACGGCGGGAGGCTCTAGCGATGCGTGGAGGGGATCTTGGCAGGAGGGGAACACGCGGAGGGGATCGTGGCTGGAGGGGCACACGGAGGTGGTCGTGGAGTGAGGGGAAAGCGCCGGCGCGGTTCCTCAGTGGTGGCGGAGCAGTTCCTGGACGGCGCACGTCCTCGCCGGCGCAGGTGAAGAATCCTATGACGGCATCCTTGGCGATGCGCATAATCGCGCAGGTGCAGGCGGGCGGCAGCGATGTAATCAGAGGTGTAGGTGGCGGGCGGCGGCAGAATCAGAGGCGCAAGTGGGCTCGTGCTGATGGACGGCGGCGAAATCAGCCGGGCGGCGCCTGCCCAGGCGATGCGCGGGGACGACGGAGGAAGAAGATGGGGCCAGGATCTATTTGAGACAGTTTTAAAATTCCGAGGGCTTTTTTGTAAAAACACCAGTACATTATGCGTTGGACAACTTTTTCAAGACGGAGGTAGTATATTGAGAAACCACCTTTCCCTGTTAGGATAAAGGATCATGCTAAAGCTTCAACTGTGGTTCGTAAGAGTAATACTAGAACACCTACACCACCTGAGCAAATTAAAGTTGAACCTAGTGATGTCTACTACGCAACCTTGTTCTTGTAGACGTTGTTGGGCCTCCAAGGGCAGAGGTTTGCAGGACAGTAGCAAATTTCCCTCAAGTGGATGACCTAAGGTTTATCAATCCGTGGGAGGCGTAGGATGAAGATGGTCTGTCTCAAACAACCCTGCAACCAAATAATAAAGAGTCTCTTGTGTCCCCAACACACCCAATACAATGGTAAATTGTATAGGTGCACTAGTTCGGCGAAAAGATGGTGATACAAGTGCAATATGGATGGTAGATATTGGTTTTTGTAATCTGAAATTATAAAAACATCAAGGTAACTAATGATAAAAGTGAGCGTAAACGGTATTGCAATGCTAGGAAACAAGGCCTAGGGTTCATACTTTCACTAGTGCAAGTTCTCTCAACAATAATAACATAATTGGACCATATAACTATCCCTCAACATGCAACAAAGAGTCACTCCAAAGTCACTAATAGCGGAGAACAAACGAAGAAATTATTGTAGGGTACGAAACCACCTCAAAGTTATCCTTTCTGATCGATCTATTCAAGAATCCAGTAAAATAACACGAAGCTATTATGTCCGTTCGATCTATCATAGAGTTCGTACTAGAATAACACCTTAAGACACAAATCAACCAAAACCCTAATGTCACCTAGATACTCCAATGTCACGTCAAGTATCCGTGGGCATGATTATATGATATGCATCACACAATCTCAAATTCATCTATTAAACCAACACAAAGTACTTCAAAGAGTGCCCCAAAGTTTCTACCGGAGAGTTAAGACGAAAACGTGTGCCAACCCCTATGCATAGATTCATTGAACCAGCAAGTTGATCACCAAAACATACATCAAGTAGATCACGTGAATATCCCATTGTCACCACAGATAAGCACGGAAAGACATACATCAAGTGTTCTCAAATCCTTAAAGACTCAATTCGATAAGATAACTTCAAAGGGAAAACTCAATCCATTACAAGAGAGTAGAGGGGGAGAAGCATCATAAGATCCAACTATAATAGCAAAGCTCGCGCTACATCAAGATCGTGCAAAGTCAAGAACACGAGAGAGAGAGAGAGAGAGAGAGAGAGAGAGAGAGATCAAACACATAGCTACTGGTACATACCCTCAGCCCCGAGGGTGAACTACTCCCTCCTCGTCATGGAGAGCGCTGGGATGATAAAGATGGCCACCGGTGATGGATCCCCCCTTCGGCAAGGTGCCGGAATGGGCTCCCGAGAGTTTTTTGGTGGCTACAGAGGCTTGCGGCGGCGGAACTGCCGATCTATTGTGTTCCTCGAAGGTTTTAGGGTATATGGACTTATATAGGCGAAAAAAGTCAGTTGGGGGAGCCTCGAGGGGCCCACGAGGGTGGAGAGCGCACCCAGGGGGTGGGTGCGCCACCTGCCTCGTGGCCTCCTCGAAGCTTCCCTGACTTGCACTCCAAGTTCCTTGGATTGCTTCCGTTCCAAAAATAACTTTCCCGAAGGTTTCATTCCGTTTGGACTCCGTTTGATATTCCTTTTCTTCGAAACACCGAAATAGGTAAGAAAACAACAATATGGGCTGGGCCTCCGGTTAATAGGTTAGTCCTAAAAATGATAAGTGTAAAGTAAAGCCCATAAACATCCAAAACAGGTAATATAATAGCATGGAACAATCAAAAATTATAGATACGTTGGAGACGTATCACCTACTATTGCTATGGTTAAAGATCTCTTGGCTGATAATATTGATGGGCATGTTATTTACTTCTGTGATAAAGCTGCTAGAATTGCTAGACCCAATACTGAAAATAAACATAGACCTGTTGTAGGAATGCCTATTATTTTTGTTAAAATAGGAGATCATTGTTATCATGGCTTATGTGATATTGGTGCTAGTGCAAGTGCAATACCTCATTCCTTATACAAAGAAATTATGCATGATATTTCAGCTGCTGAGATAGAAGAAATTGATGTTACAATTAAGCTTGCCAATAGAGATACTATTTCACTAGTTGGGATTGTTAGAGATGTTGAAGTCTTGTGTGGGAAAGTTAAATATCCTACTGATTTTCTTGTTCTTGGTTCCCCACAAGATAGCTTTTGTCCCATCATATTTAGTAGACCCTTCTTGAATACTGTTAATGCTAAGATAGATTGCGAAAAAGATATTGTTACGATTGGCTTAGGGGATATGTCTCATGAGTTTAATTTTGCTAAATTTCGTAGACAACCCCATGATAAAGAATTGCCTAGTAAGGTAGAAATTATTGGTCTTGCTTCTATTGCCATGCCTCCTAATGATCCTTTAGAACAATATTTGCTAGACCATGAAAATGATATGTTTATGAATGAAACAAGGGAGATAGATGAAGTATTCTTTAAACAAGGGCCTATTTTGAAACACAACTTGCCTGTTGAAATTCTAGGGGATCCTCCACCCAAGGGTGATCCCGTGTTTGAGCTTAAACCACCACCTGATACTCTTAAATATGCTTATCTTGATGAAAAGAAGATATGTCTTGTTATTATTAGTGCTAACCTTTCAGAGCAGGAAGAGGAGAAACTATTGAAAACTCTGAAGAAGCACCGTGCTGCTATTGGATATATTCTTGATGACCTTAAGGGCATTAGTCCCACTCTATGCCAACACAAGATAAAATTGGAGAAATGCGCTAAACCAGTTGTTGATCACCAATGATGGTTAAATCCTAAGATGAAAGAATGGGAAGAAAGGAAATACTAAAGCTTCTGGAGGCAGGTATAATTTATCCCGTTGCTGATAGTCAGTGGGTAAGCCCTGTCCATTGTGTCCCTAAGAAGGGAGGTATTACTATCGTTCCTAATGATAAAGATGAATTGATCCCGCAAAGAATTGTTACAGGTTATAGGATGGTAATTGATTTCTGTAAATTAAATAAAGCTACTAAAAAGGATCATTACCATTTGCCTTTTATTGATCAAATGCTAGAAAGATTGTCCAAACATACACATTTTTGCTTTCTAGATGGTTACTCTGGTTTCTCTCAGATACCTATGTCAAAAGAGGATCAAGAAAAGACCACTTTTACTTGCCCTTTCAGTACTTTTGCTTATAGACGTATACCTTTTGGTTTATGTAATGCACTTGCTACCTTTCAAAGATGCACGATGGCTATATTCTCTGACTTTTGTGAAAAGATTGTTGAGGTCTTCATGGATGGTTTCTCCGTTTATGGATCTTCTTTTGATGATTGCTTGAGCAACCTTGATCAAGTTTTGCAGAGATGTGAAGAAACTAATCTTGTCTTGAATTGGGAGAAGTGCCACTTTATGGTTAATGAAGGCATTGTCTTGGGGCATAATTTTTTTGAAAGAGGTATTGAAGTTGATAAAGCTAAAGTTGATGCTATTGAAAAGATGGCGTGTCCTAAGGACATTAAAGGTATAGGGAGTTTTCTTGGTCATGCGGGTTTTTATAGGAGGTTCATTAAAGACTTCTCAAATATTTCTAGGCCTCTAACAAATCTCTTACAAAAAGATATCCCTTTTGTCTTCGATGATGATTATGTAGAAGCATTTGAAATACTTAAGAAAGCTTTGATTTCTGCACCTATTGTTCAGCCACCTGATTGGAATTTACCCTTCAAAAATATGTGCGATGCTAGTGATTATGCCGTAGGTGCTCTTCTAAAACAAAGAGTTGATAAGAAACTAAATGTTATCCAATATGCTAGTAAAACTCTAGACAGTGCCCAGAGAAATTATGCCACTACTGAAAAAGAGTTTTTAGCAGTTGTATTTGCTTGTGATAAGTTTAGACCTTATATTGTTGATTCTAAAGTAATTGTTCACACTGATCATGCTGCTATTAAATATCTTATGGAAAAGAAAGATGCTAAACCTAGACTTATTATATGGGTTCTCTTGCTACAAGAATTTGATTTGCATATTTTTTGATAGAAAGGGAGCTGAGAACCATGTTGCACACAACTTGTCTAGGTTAGAGAATGTTCTTGATGACCCACTACCTACTGATGATAACTTTCCTGATGAACAATTAGCTGTCATAAATGCTTCTCGTACTGCTCCATGGTATGCTGATTATGCTAATTACATTGTTGCTAAATTTATACCACCTAGTTTCACATACCAGCAAAAGAAAAAGTTTTTCTATGATTTAAGACATTACTTTTGGGATGATCCACACCTTTACAAAGAATTGGTAATATTAGTAGACGTCAAGAAATGCCTATGAATTATTCTCTTGTTATTGAACCATTTGATGTTTGGTGCTTTGACTATATGGGACCGTTTCCTTCCTCCAATGGGTATACACATATTTTAGTTGTTGTTGATTACGTTACTAAGTGGGTAGAAGCTATCCCAACTAATAGTGTTGATCCCACCACGGCGCTAACCCCTCCTCCAGCGATCTCCACCCTCCCCCAATAATATGTGCATCCTTTCCGACCATCTTCTCCGGTGCCTCCTTAGGATCAAGGCAATACCCATCTCATATGGTTTCCTCTGGTGGACCTACCCTTGGCTTCGATTTCTCCAAGGGTAGGGTTTTCTCTGATGAGGTTTTCAAATCTACTGGTCACATGATCCATCCAATGGGTCGACAGAGGGCTTTTGTTCTGATTGTGTCTTTTAGCCGTCATGCCTTCCGTTTGTCGGAGGATTAAGTGGCGGCGGCCTTGGAAGCAGCGATTGGTGGCTCGGCAATAGATCTTTGGGTCCCTCACATCAAGGATAAGGTGTACTCTTTCCAAGTCTCCTGCAAGCAAGTTGGTTTTCTTATTATGGATCTTCGTTCTTTTGCTTGTG